GATTAAGTCATATTGTAGTATATTATACTCCATTATATTCAATGATTATTATTACTATACTACTATTATATTATTATAATTATATTTCATCATACTCTATTACATTATTATCAGATTTAATTATTTTATATTATTATATAATGTATTATATTATTATTAAATTTATCATACTCTATTATATTATTATTAGATTATACTATTATTACATTCCAATATATTGTATTGTATTTTTGTTACACTGCATTACATTCTATTATATTGGTATATTATATTATTATAATAATATTATCATATTCCACTATACATTGTACTGTATTATACAATTTTTATATTCCATTGTAAAGTAATGGGACATCGTTCGCGTTTAGCGCTCACGGTCAGTGTTAAATAAAAATCACCGTCTATTTCCCGCGGGATTCGGGAGTCGTTGCCCGAGGATTGCGAAGGAAAGCATACGTCGTTCGAGCACGCACGGCGAGCGGGAGATTATCGAACGTGATGCGTCGTGTAGCGCCGCGTCGCTGCACGGTGACCCGTGGAAGAATAAAACTATAATTCGATACGTGACCGGATACAAAACAGTGGCGGCGGAGAAAAAAGAGAGGGGGGAGGGCGGTACGTGCGCGGGTTAACGCCGAACGGTATAAAATGTCATCGAGCATGGGGTAATTAAACGGTCGCGTGCGAACTTTCCAACGGCGGCACGCGCCGTTTCGCGCGCCGAAATCGTGCTCGCCGTTAGGAACCGAATGAAATATTCATTCTACGTAAACGGCCGACTCGGCGCCCGTGATTTGCTTTTAATTACCGATTCGCTGGCGGCCGAGAATTATCGTCCGACGGTACGGTTCGGTTCGTGACACGCCGCCAGCCGTCTATCGTTGCCAATTGCGTTTCCACCGGGTGTCCCGGAAGACACGCGTCCCAAAATTTTTGCGAACCGTCGAATACAATTCCTCGGACGATTTCGAACGATTTTTTCCTTTGCGAAAATTTTCTACGAGGCTCCGTTCTCGAGTTATTGACGATAAACGCGGACGCCCCGCCCTAGCGGTGAGCAGCGACGCCGCATTGGTTGCGTGTGCGTGTCGCAAGCCATGCCCGCTGTCCAATTGGTCCGCGTTATTTCGTCGATAGCTCGTTAACGGAGCCTCGTAGAACATTATCGCAAAGGAAAAAGTTACTCGAAATCGTCCGAGGAATCTCCGCTTTCCAGTTATGACAGGAGTTTTGGGACATCTTGTATAGGAAAATTGGAACAATTAATTTCAGGTTTCGAAAAGTACTTTATTTCCCATTGGGTCATATAACTGCAAATCTAATTTTGATTATAACAGTGATACGGTCGATTCGCAGGTTGCTCCGAACTCCAAATATATTATTAATACTCAATGTCAATTTCTATTTTGGTTGTATTAAATTTCCTTCGTGGGACTCCAATGATCTGCAGAAAGAGCGTTCACGATATTTCTGGCTCACAATACAATATTATAATAATATTCTCATGCTTACGATGGCCATAGTGTGAACCGACGACAGAACGATCGCAGACAGAACAAAGAGAGCGAGATTCAATGGTTGCAGCATGTTGCTACACCGATGATGTTGTCAATTGAAACGATGTGTTTATTTTGCTTTTTTATATACATGCAAGAAACTTTAAAACGACGTTAAAAATTGTACAACTTGATAATTCGGTCACGAACAGTGTGACATTAAAATTACGACTGACTCGATGAAACAGATACGAGAGGTGTGCGAAATTCCGGGCAAAAATAACCCTGCGACGTATTTTTTTAGAACGTGGTCATAATGTAAACGTAACAAATTTAAGCGGCAATAAACTTAGTAAGCTGTCTATAGCGTGTTTAAAAAATAGAGAAGAAGAGAAACGGTGCCGCGCAGTCGATGCATGAGTACGGTCAGCGCCACGCCTCGCGACTGCCACTCCCACGCGTTTGCCACGCCCGCGTGATCGTCACACCAGCGCGATCGTCTTGCCCTCGCGCTCTCGTGACCGCTACGCCCTCGCGTCTGCTCCACTCCCACTACCGCCACACCCATGCGACCGCCCCACCCTCGCAACCGCTCCACCCTTGCGCCCGCCACACCGCAACTCGTCCGCCGCACTCGCTCTCTGATTGGTCCGCGTTATTTCGTCGATAGCTCGTTAATGGAGCCTCGTAGAACATTTTCGTAAAGGAAAAAGTTACTCGAAATCGTCCGAAGAATCTCCGCTTTCCAGTTATGGCAGGAGTTTTGGGACATCTAGTATAGGAAAATTGGAACAATTAATTTCAGGTTTCGAAAAGTACTTTATTTCCCATTGGGTCTTATAACTGCAAATCTAATTTTGATTACAACAGTGACACGGTCGATTCGCAGGTTGCTTCGAACTCCAAATATATTATTAACGGTCAGTTTGAGCTTCTACTTTGGTTCTATTTAATTTCCTTAGTGGGGCTCCAATGATCTACAGAAAGAACGTTCACGATATTTCTGATTCACAATACAGTATTATAATAATATTCTCAAACATGCTTACGGCTGCCATAGTGTGAACCGACGACAGGACGATCACAGACAGAACAAAGAGAGCGAGATTCCATGGCTGCAGCATGTTGCTACACCGATGATGTAGTCAATTGAAACGATGAGTTTATTTTGCTTTTTTATATACATGGAAGAAACTTTAAAACGACGTTAAAAATTGTACAACTTGATAATTCGGTCACGAACAGTGTGACATTAAAATTACGACTGACTCGATGAAACAGATACGAGAGGTGTGCAAAATTCCGGGCAAAAATAACCCTGCGACGTACTTTTTTAGAACGTGGTCATAATGTAAACGAAACAAATTTAAGCGGCAATAAACTTAGTAAGCTGTCTATAGCGTGTTTAAAAAATAGAGAAGAAGAGAAACGGTGCCGCGCAGTCGATGCATGAGTACGGTCAGCGCCACGCCTCGCGACTGCCACTCCCACGCGTTTGCCACGCCCGCGTGATCGTCACACCAGCGCGATCGTCTTGCCCTCGCGCTCTCGTGACCGCTACGCCCTCGCGTCTGCTCCACTCCCACTACCGCCACACCCATGCGACCGCCCCACCCTCGCAACCGCTCCACCCTTGCGCCCGCCACACCGCAACTCGTCCGCCGCACTCGCTCTCTGATTGGTCCGCGTTATTTCGTCGATAGCTCGTTAATGGAGCCTCGTAGAACATTTTCGTAAAGGAAAAAGTTACTCGAAATCGTCCGAAGAATCTCCGCTTTCCAGTTATGGCAGGAGTTTTGGGACATCTAGTATAGGAAAATTGGAACAATTAATTTCAGGTTTCGAAAAGTACTTTATTTCCCATTGGGTCTTATAACTGCAAATCTAATTTTGATTACAACAGTGACACGGTCGATTCGCAGGTTGCTTCGAACTCCAAATATATTATTAACGGTCAGTTTGAGCTTCTACTTTGGTTCTATTTAATTTCCTTAGTGGGGCTCCAATGATCTACAGAAAGAACGTTCACGATATTTCTGATTCACAATACAGTATTATAATAATATTCTCAAACATGCTTACGGCTGCCATAGTGTGAACCGACGACAGGACGATCACAGACAGAACAAAGAGAGCGAGATTCCATGGCTGCAGCATGTTGCTACACCGATGATGTAGTCAATTGAAACGATGAGTTTATTTTGCTTTTTTATATACATGGAAGAAACTTTAAAACGACGTTAAAAATTGTACAACTTGATAATTCGGTCACGAACAGTGTGACATTAAAATTACGACTGACTCGATGAAACAGATACGAGAGGTGTGCAAAATTCCGGGCAAAAATAACCCTGCGACGTACTTTTTTAGAACGTGGTCATAATGTAAACGAAACAAATTTAAGCGGCAATAAACTTAGTAAGCTGTCTATAGCGTGTTTAAAAAATAGAGAAGAAGAGAAACGGTGCCGCGCAGTCGATGCATGAGTACGGTCAGCGCCACGCCTTGCGACTGCCACGCCTTCACGACTGCCCCGCACTCACGACCGCCCCGTCCTCGCGACTGCCACTCCCACGCGCCTGCCACGCCTACGCGATCGCCACGCCCGCGCGATCGTCTTGCCTTCGCACTCTCGTGACCGCTACGCCCTCGCGTCTGCCCCACTCTCACTACCGCCACACCCATGCGATCGCCACGCCCGCGCGCCCGCCCCACACTCGCAACTGCTCCACCCTCGCGTCTGCCACACCGCAACTCGTCCGCCGTACTCGCTCTCTGATTGGCCCGCGTTATTTCGTTGATAGCTCGTTAAGGTAGCCTCGTAGAACATTTTCGCAAAGAAGAAAATGGTTCGAGATCTCTTGAAGCGCTCTTCTCTCTAGTGTATCTGGAGTTCTGGTGCACCCTGTATTTCTGCGTCTGCTCTCTGCGTCGCTCGCGACGCGTCACCGAAAATCATGACCCGCGAGTATTTGCTATTGACGTTCCCGTGTAACCCGCAAGCCCCGCGGTTGAACTCAGACGGATACCCGTGGCTCCGGCAACATAAAGGATATTACGTACAATTAATCTCGCAGGAGAGGCACGGATAGTCGTAGACGTCGTCGTCGCTGTCGCGCCGGAACGGCGCATAGTTGGGGGTGGCGGCGGCGGCGGCGGCTCGGTCTCATTAAATTTTCCAATTTGCCCGATGAACTCACGGGAAGACATTTATGCAAAGGTCGGAGAAGAAAATGCGTCCGCGCGGGCCGTCGCATTAATACCCTTTGGTACAAAGGGTAACGATATTTGATTCTTAACGAGAGACACAACGGCTTATTAAATAAACATAGGGTAGTTACGGGCGCTGCCCCGAAGGTTCCCGTAATAATGCCGTCTAACATGTGGCTAACGGGCCGTTTCGGCCGAGTGTTATGGAAATTTATTATAAAATAATCTCATTAAACCGGTGAGAGCAATTTCGTACGGCCTCGGGGGTTACAAAGCGATCCGCCGGTGATCAAAGACACAGATGCACGCGTCCTCCGCGCTGCGGGCCCACGTCTGTCCTAAGAAATCGCTGCGTCGGCGTTCCATCGAAGTATTATGACCGTAAACTGTCTTATCGGGTACCTGTTACAGCCAATCAATAATACAGAACGTTCCGTGTGCAAAGCAATCGAGCTCCGCGTCTTTAATTCGTTCCAGAAAAATCGACGGTGTCAGCGAATTCGCGTTGTTCTTGGAAGGAACAGATTCCTCGGGTGATTTGCAGCGACTTTTTCCTTTGCGAAAATGTCGGCAAACGCTTCGTTTAGGAGTTATTCGAGAAAAACGCCGACCAATCGGAGCGCGGGCGCGGCTGGCGCCACGCTCTCGCGGCCAATGCCGTGTCGAGCCTACTGCCGCGAGGGCGGGGCGTCGGTTTTTCGTTAATAACTCGTTAACAGAGCCTCCGACGACTTTTCCGCAAAGGAGAAAGTTCCTTCAAATCACGCGAGGAATCTCCTCTATCAATTTCAGCGATATTCTTCTTTTTATTAGAAATTTTTTTAAATATATTAGTCTACGCTTTCACGCGTACCGGCGTTTTTCCTTGCGACATGTTTCAACGGCATGAATTTCCTCTTTCTCTTTTATGTCGCTCCAAAATAACATGGATATTTAATGCCAGCCGAGTCGGATTCGATTAGTTGCTCCGGTTCCAAGTCGGGCACAATTTCAGTCGACCCGTTCCGGGACGATTCCGTTTCGAACTTTCGCGTCACCGTTTCGTTTATTTCGGTTTTCTTGCTTCTAAATGTGTCCGACACTCTAACCCCGCCACCCCTCGCCCCGGAATATGAAATTACGTTTCGCCGTTCTGAGAGGTTAATTCCTGTAATCCGTGATTAAGCGAGTTCGGTCCTCGAGACCAGATGCTGTTTTATTCAGTCACGATCCTCATGTCGTCGCGATGTTTTGCGTCCGATTGTTGCCAACTCGATTCAATCATCTGGGTACATGTTTCGGGGATGTTTTTAATAAAGGCATGCTCGATTTGACAGTCACGCGCTATTTTGAATCGGCGATAATGCGAGCAGGTTCGATGAATGTGTCAGCTTTGATGCAATCGCTGAAATCTAAAAAGTAATAATATAATAATAAGATAAATAAATAAAATAACTGACTGACTAAGTAACTAACTAAATAAATAAATAGTAAAATAAATAAATAATAAAATAAATAGATAAGTAAATAAATAAATAATAACATAAATAAATAGATAGATGAATATATAAATAATAAAATTAATAAGTAGATAGATTAATAGATAAATAAATAATAAAATAAATAAATAGATAAACAAATAATAAAATAAATAGATAAATAAATAAATAAATGAATGGATAAATAAATAAATAAATAATAATGTAAAAATAACGCATAAAAAATAATTTTTGGAAGTCAAGTTACCCGATTTTAAAGCGGACATCCCCACCTTGAATTTGAGAATTGTATTGAAAGAAAAAATTGTACTAAAAGTATTCTCGGATTAATTCCATGGAGTTCAGGTGACCCGTAGCCATCCGTGCGACGTCAACGGGCGCGTCCCCGTTTCGCTCGCGAACGCGGCCGGTTGTTTTACAGCTTCTTCCTCTTCGGCGAGCCGGTATAAATTCCGGCGGAACGAGACGCCGATTTGACGGTCGCAGGCAAGATAAGTCGCAGGAAACAAGAGTGACCCGAATGAATGATAGGGCCGCGAGCAGGAGCTCTAAGGTAGCTGCTAATTAATGGGGGCATCCATCTGACGCCATTTTGCTACTCACCGGCCGTCTTCCTTCCGGCTGCTTGCTGCGTTTCTGGGCCAAGCGTAAACCTTAACGCTGCCGGTGTCTGGCCGGGGCCACCGGCTGTCTGCATCGCCGACCGAAACAATTTGTAATCCGGCAAACCGTGCCCAAAGATTGAGAGAGCCCAACGGCTCCGACACAGCCTTGTATAAATTAGATTTGGCCGCGTCCCATGCCAAGTCCGGCCCCGACAATTTCACCTGCCCGCCGTGCCGGCCGACCTCCCCGTCCCGACCGCCCGATGTCCTTCCGGTAATTGATACTCGGACGAACGAATTTTCTGTCCCCGACGCGAACCACATTTCCTTTAAAGGATCATCTTGGCCACGGAGCATCGGGAAAATACAGTTTTATTTCTCGGTATTTTATTGACCGCCAAGCGACGACTCGACGGCGACTTCGTGACGAATTTTAGTGGCGTTGCTGTGGGACCTTTTGATCGTGTCGAGGCTCAAAAGGAAGGTGAAAATGTGAACTTTGAAATGGGGTGCTTCGGGTTACAAAATGATTAAGAAATGATATCGAAAAATCGTGAAATCATGACACTTTATGCGATGGAAAATGACACGATTTCGTAGGGGTAATGCATGTTGCTTATAAGTTATGTTGCCGTCGGATTTTTTAAATGATACTTAGCTCAGATTAAAGCTGAAAGTGTCTACTTTAAGATAGAGAAACTTAGATGGAAAAAAATAATTGTTGTGCCACTTCTAAAAATCGAAGAAACCTAACCAATAGCACGAAGCAGAATGACTCAATTTTGTAGTAAAACTTTGAGTCAATTTGAAGTTGCGTTCCCGTGGATCGTTTTAATTGCAACTTAGCGCAAATTAAAGCTGAAAGTATCTACTTTAAGATGGAGTAACTTAGATTGAAGAAAAGAATCGTTGCGTTAGTTCTAAAAATCAATGAATCCCAACCATCCGCACGAACCAAAATGACTCAATTATGTGGTAAGACTTTGAGTCAATTTGAAATTGTGTTCCCGTAAATCGGTTTAAGTGCAACTTAACTCAAATCAAAGCTGAAAGTACCTACTTTAAGATGGAGTAACTTAGATTGAAAAAAAGAATCGTCGCGTTAGTTCTAAAAATCGAAGAATCCCGACCATCCGCACAAACCAAAATGACTCAATTTTGTAGTAAAAATTTGAGTCAATTTGAAGTTGCGTTCTCGTGGATCGTTTTAATTGCAACTTAGCGCAAATTAAAGCTGAAAGTGCCTACTTTAAGATAGAGTAACTTAGATTGAAAAAAATAATTGTCGCGCCAGTTTTAAAAATCGAAGAAACCCAACGAACTGCACGAAGCAAAGTGATTCAATTTTGTAGTAAAACTTTGAGTCAATTTGAAGTTGGGTTTTCGTGGATCATTTTAAGTACAACTTAGCTCAAATTAAAGCTGATAGTATCTACTTTAAGATACAGTATCATACATTGAAAAAAATCATCGTCGCATTACTTTTAAAAATCGAAGAATCTCAACCTCGCACGCGAAGCAAAACGACTCAATTTTATTCAGGGACTTTAAGTCAATTTGGTGTAACGTTCCCGTGAATCGTTTCAAGTGGAACATATCTGAAATTAAAGCTTTAAGTATTTACTTTAAGACACAGTAACTTAGATTGAAAAAGGAAGGGCCACATTACTGTTAAAAATCGAAGAACCCCTACGTCTCACAAAATAAAATGATTCAACTTCAATATCAATTTAATTAAAGTTCCCGTTGGTCTTTTCAAGTCTAACTTAGCTCGAAATAAAGCTGAATCATCAGCGAACAGTGCCCGTCAGTTCGTTTCGACCTGAAACACGTCGCTCGTTCCCGAGCGCCGCGAGAATAGCGTCGCATTTCGACCGCTTCCACCGTTAATACCTGTTCAGCGAAACAATATCGTGCGTGCTCGGCCCGGGTCGCCTTCGATCGGGTTCGGTCGCTTGATACCGGTAGTTCGGCGTGCTAAAGCGCCGCGGAAGTTTCGCCTTTAAAACCAATTAAGCTAATAGAAAGTTCCAAGGTGCGCGCGGCAAGATCGACGCCGTGTTGCGAAAGCGACCTCGCGAGAACGAGCGGGGCGGCGAGTGCTCGTTGCAGCAGGGACAGCTCTACGCGGCGGCTCGGCCGGCGTAATCGAGTAAAACAACAAGCGCCGGAGCAGATTAACAAGTTTTTACGCGTTTAGTTCGCCGGCTCCGCGGGCCGTTATGTTCGACGATGTCGGAGAGCTCGATCCGCGGCGACTACCCGATGGGCCGGACGTTTGTCACCCCGACAGCCAATCCGCTCGTGCCGGACCTTTTCTGATTAATCTTGTCTCGTTGCAGCAGCTGAAATAATTCAATCGATCATGGACCAATTACCAATTGGATTATTTATTATTATTGTGTTGACAATTATTATAGTTATTAGTAGGTTGATTATTAGTATGATCATTATTGTGATTGTGTTATTATGTCCAGGTTGTTAATATGATGATTATTACGATTATTGTTAATATGATTGAAATAATTATTATGATAATTATTATTATTAATAATTATCACATTATTATGATGATTATTATTATGATTATGATTATGTTAATTATTATTATGTTGATGATTAGTATGATGATTGTTATTATGTTGAAGATGTGTATAAGAGACAGCATTATTATATGATGATGATTATTATGATTATGATTATTATTATGATGGTTATTATGACTATTATTAATATGATTATGATAATTATTATTATGATGCTTATGATGTTATTATTAATATGGTTATGATAATTATTATTACGATGCTTATGATTATTATTATTATTATGATTATTAATAATTATCACATTATTATATGATGATTATTATTATGATTATTAATAATTATCACATTATTATATGATGATTATTATTATGATTATTAATAATTATCACATTATTATATGATGATTATTATTATGATTATTAATAATTATCACATTATTATATGATGATTATTATTATGATTATTAATAATTATCACATTATTATATGATGATTATTATTATGATTATTAATAATTATCACATTATTATATGATGATTATTATTATGATTATTAATAATTATCACATTATTATATGATGATTATTATTATGATTATTAATAATTATCACATTATTATATGATGATTATTATTATGATTATTAATAATTATCACATTATTATATGATGATTATTATTATGATTATTAATAATTATCACATTATTATATGATGATTATTATTATGATTATTAATAATTATCACATTATTATATGATGATTATTATTATGATTATTAATAATTATCACATTATTATATGATGATTATTATTATGATTATTAATAATTATCACATTATTATATGATGATTATTATTATGATTATTAATAATTATCACATTATTATATGATGATTATTATTATGATTATTAATAATTATCACATTATTATATGATGATTATTATTATGATTATTAATAATTATCACATTATTATATGATGATTATTATTATGATTATTAATAATTATCACATTATTATATGATGATTATTATTATGATTATTAATAATTATCACATTATTATATGATGATTATTATTATGATTATTAATAATTATCACATTATTATATGATGATTATTATTATGATTATTAATAATTATCACATTATTATATGATGATTATTATTATGATTATTAATAATTATCACATTATTATATGATGATTATTATTATGATTATTAATAATTATCACATTATTATATGATGATTATTATTATGATTATTAATAATTATCACATTATTATATGATGATTATTATTATGATGGTTATTATGACTATTATTAATATGATTATGATTGTTATTATGTCAAGGTTATTATTATGATGATTATTATGATTATTATTATGTTGATTATTTTTATGATTATTACTATGATTATTATTGGTTATTATTAGTATTATTATTGATTATTATTATGTCATGGTTATTATTATAATGATTATTATGATTATTACAGTGATTATGATTGTTATTATGATATTGATTATAATTATGATTATTATTATATTTATTATTATCATGATTGTATATTATTATTATTATAAACCTCCTTCAGCCTCTTATTTTTGTTTATTAATTTTACAATAGTATTATTTTTATAAAATTCTATAATTATTCATTCATAATAATTTATTTTTATTGACGTCTCGAAAAACGTGGGAGTCATTGGACCGAATTCGGGAAGAGTGACTACGTTTGAAAAGTGGTCGCGAATGTTATCGTCGAGCGGCGCAGGTGTTACGAACGACCCGGACCGAGTTCCCTTCGTCGCCGAAGCGACGCCGACCGGCGAATCGACGCGATTCGTACGGCCGGCGATATTATTGGCGCGGCGATAATTACCGTCGCCGGACCCGCTCGAGACTGGTTCAAGTTCGCCGATCTGGCGGGCGTGTTATGTTACTCAGCCGGGCGCTATACAGAAAACGCATTATCAAGATAATCCTCTCCCGGCGGCGGCGGCAAGTGCTCGAGCGATAATGTGTTAATAACAAAGAGCCGCGCTTTAGTGTAATGAAAATCCCGGGGCCGGCTCGGAACTTGTCATGCTTTTGATCTTTATCAGATAGAGACCTCGCCGGGGCGAGATATTAAATTTCGCGCGATTATTAAGCTGCCGGGCGAGAAGGAACGAACGAAGGAAGTCGGTTTTTCGAAGCGGCAATTTTTCTCGCCGACGAATTAATCTCGTCCCGCGACGCATCCACGGCCACTCGAAAAATATCGACCAGGCCGCCTAAATTAATGCCAGAAGTGTCCTCTTCGAGATGAGGCAGCTTCGGGGGGGGGGGGGGGAAATAAAAACGAATCGCGTCATTTTGGAAAATTGAAAGAAGGCGATACTTGACTCGAAGAGAAATGCGCCGATTTTAACGGGTAACTTCGAGTTGAATTTTAGTTGTGTTCCTGTAGGAGTTTTTTAACGGGACTTGGCATGAATTGAAGTTGAAAATATACGCTTTGAAATGAGGTGATTTAGATTGGGAAAGAATTGCGAAGTAGTTGCGAAAAATTGAAAATCCCTGACGCTTGACGCGATGAATGGTGACTCGACTTTGTAGGGGTTATTCAAGTCGCTTTTAAGGTGTGTTCCTGTCGGTGATTTTTAATCATGCTTGGATGGAATTAAATGGGAAAGTATCTACTTTAAGATAGGGTAGCTTAAGTTGAAAAATAATGGAGAGATTGTTTCGAAAAATTGAGAAGGCGCGGCTCCTAAGTCGGAGATGAATGCCTCGATATTGAAAGGAAACTTCAAGTTCAATTTAAATTACGTTTCTATGGGACTATTTTAATGTAATTTAGCTTCAAATAAAGGTAGAAATATGCACTTTAAAATGAGGTTATTCTGGTTAAAAAATACTTGCGAAATCATATTGAAAAGTCGAAAAACCATGAGCTCTGACACGAAGAAAAATGCCTTGATTTCATTGGGATAATTTTTAAATGATACTTAGCTCAAATTAAAGCTGAAAGTATCTATTTTAAGATAGAGTAACTTAGATTGAAAAAGGAGCCGCCACGTTAGTTTTAATTATCGAAGAATCTCAACCATCCACAAAGTAAAATGACTAAACTTCAAGTACAATTTAAGTAATGTTCCCGTAGGACTTTCTAAATGTAACTTAGCTCAGAATAAAGCTGAAAGTGTCTACTTTAAGATAGAGAAACTTAGATGGAAAAAAATAATTGTTGTGCCACTTCTAAAAATCGAAGAAATCTAACCAATAGCACGAAGCAGAATGACTCAATTTTGTAGTAAGACTTTGAGTCAATTTGAAATTGTGTTCCCGTAAATCGGTTTAAGTGCAACTTAACTCAAATCAAAGCTGAAAGTACCTACTTTAAGATGGAGTAACTTAGATTGAAAAAAAGAATCGTCGCGTTAGTTCTAAAAATCGAAGAATCCCGACCATCCGCAGAAACCAAAATGACCCGATTTTGTAGTACAAATTTGAGTCAATTTGAAGTTGCGTTGTCCAGAATCGTTTTAATTGAAACTTAGCTCAAATTAAAGCTGAAAGTATCTATTTTAAGATAGAGTAACTTAGATTGAAAAAGGAGCCGCCACGTTAGTTTTAATTATCGAAGAATCTCAACCATCCACAAAGTAAAATGACTAAACTTCAAGTACAATTTAAGTAATGTTCCCGTAGGACTTTCTAAATGTAACTTAGCTCAGAATAAAGGTGGAAATGTGTATTTCAAAGCAAGGTTACTGGGATTAAGAAATAATCGCGATAATATTCCGAGAAACCGGAAAACCCTGACCCCTGACAGGATGAGAAATGCCTCGATTTCATAGCGACAATTCAAATCGCTTTAAAGTTATGTTCCCGTCAGCGATTTTCAACGATACTTACCTCAAATTAAAGCTGAAAGTATCTTCTTTAAGACATAATAGCTCAAGTGAAAAAATAATCACGAGATCATTTCGAAAAGTCAATAATTGTCCGAGTATCGCCGGGAAAGGTATTTATCTGGAAGACGACGAAATCAATTTCGACGAATAAATCCATAGTTTAAGATTTATTAACAAATTCCAGGTACACTTCATTCACATAAGACATGTTTCATTTCATCCGTTGCGTCGTCCACTTCCTCGGCAATTGTCACAGCGTTATCCAAATCGTATGACAACGTCGGTGCTCGGCTTCTAAAATAAAAATCGCGCGTGGGCGACAATGAAAAACTGTTTTTGATTTTTCGAGCGACGAAAACGATTCCATTTTTCGTGGTAAAACTTACATCTCTCGCGAGGATGGGCGCGACGAAACAGGCCGACGCAACAATAACAGCGTACACCGCTAGAACGGCGAAATTAATTCCCCGAAACATGATTTTTTTTCCTCCGACGAATTCTTATTTCCATTAACGTCGACGGGCAATCGGCTGCTTTATATACATGACCGTGGCAACGGCGTGAAAAAACCATTTAAATGGATCGTGACTCGGTTATCATATTGATTGTTAGTAAACTCTACGGGCAGAATCGCGACTCTGATAAAACGTTGTAATCAATGCACAAAATAAACCGTTCTATTTTGCAATATATTCGAACTGTGAACTCCACTCTGCCGTTTTTTGCACGGCTAGTTCGAATTGTTTTAAAAAATCTCGTGGTCTTTTTAACGATTTATCGATTTAATTCCATTCGATTCGATTCAATTTATTTATTAATAATTTATTAATAATGTGTTACGTTCACGATGATTTATTAATAATTTATTACGCTCATAATAATTTATTAATAATTTATAACGTTGATAATAATTTGTTAATAATTTATTACTTTCATAATAATTTATTAATAATTTATTACTTTCATAATAATTTATTAATAATTTATTACTTTCATAATAATTTATTAACAATTTATTACGATCATAATAATTTAATAATAATTTATCACGTTCATAACAATTTATTAATAATTTATTACAATTATGATAATTTATTAATAATTTATTACAATNGTTTATAATAATGTATTAATAATTTATTACGTTCATAATAGTTTATTAATAATTTCTTACTTTCATAATAATTTATTACAATTATAATAATTTATTAATAATTTATTACATTTATAATAATTTATTAATAATTCATTATATTTATACTAATTTATTATTAATTTGTTATATTTATAACAATTTACTATGTTTATAATAACATATTAATAATTTATTAACAACCAATTTTCGATTTAATTTATCGAATTTAACCGTGTTTATTACAACAATCGACTCGAATACTAAACAAATTGTTACCGATTTTCCAATTTCAACATTATTCAAATAATTGTCATCTTTGGTCGCTGCATTTGTCCATGCGCTTTCGTTCAGCGAAATTGTAATTTCAAGGTCATCGAACGTCCGAGAACGCGTAAAAATAAGTTCACCGTCTATGGAATCACGGTTGAATCGCGGCGCAGCACAAAGCGCGCGGAGGGCCGACGATTTTTATTAACCGCTCGGAAGGAAGCGCGCAGCGCCGCGGGGAAATGAGATTTTGTTGCTTTATAAAGGTTATCGCGCTAATTAAAAAAAACGCGGGAACGACCCGAAGACGTCGCTGCGGGGGAAATGAAAAGGTCTTTAAAAGCCACTCAGCCGGCCGTAATACGGCTCGCACTGTTTTTTTATTTACATTATAAAACGCATTTCCGTTCCGTCGGTACGTAAATCACCGTCTTTGTTCCCATACAGCCGCGAGATCTGGACGGCTCATGACATAACCGTCTATTGTGACCGTCGTCGAATCGCCGGTTAGGGTTAATTCGGTCGAGCGGAATAGCGCTATAGGCTGCGAGTGGCCAATGAAAGACTGCCGTCGGTGCTCTGTAATTTGCGGACGCGTGGCTGCAATTTGTCGCACTTCAAAAGAACGCGCAAGCCGCGGCGTGTTCGGCAAATCACTTTCGTTATGGGCGACGCGTTCTTCTTTCAGCACAGTGCTCTAAAAGCGCCGCTTTCCATAGGCGAATCGACATTTGCCGACGTCAGAAAGATTAACGGGAACGATCGATTTCATTGCATTCGTTTCGGAGAGCCGCGAGAGCGAATTAAAGAGACGAGAAGATCGATGGGAATTGATAATGAGGCGCAAACGATACCCGAGATGATTCCAAGCAACTTTCTTCTTTGCGATAACTTTCTCCGACGCTCTGTTGACGAGTTATCGAGGAAAAAACGCGGACCAATCGGCGAGCACGCGCGGGACGAGTAGGCGGCGCGCCATTGGCCGCGCGGGCGGGCCACTGGCCGTGAGGGCGGGGCATCGGTCGCGCTCGCTCTCCGGTCGGTCAGCGCTTCTCGTCGATAACTCATGAACGGAGCGTCATAGAAGATTTCTGCAAAGGAAAAAGTTGCTTCAAATCGCCTCGGGAATCCTTTCCGATGCTTTATACAATTTTTGTGATGTTTTTTACTCTCTACTTTTTCCCATTATATTTGTATTATAGTATTTGACACTTGACTTAATTCTTCGAGTAAATTAGATTCGTGTTTTAGAAATCCTCGTTCGTCAAGGGCTGTATTAGAAATGATTAACTCACCGTACAGACATCGGAACACTTATTTCCGACTCGTTGAAAATTGTAGAAAATCAAGATTTAAAGTTTAACGCCCGTGAAATCAGTTACCATCGAGAAAGGACTAGAAAGCGTCGCGTGAACCCATGAACAAGACCTCGAAGATTCGGCGTCCGCGATCTGGTAAATCCGGGAAGCTGCCGCAACATCAGCCCGCCGGATTAAGAACAGCCGAGTCATCAGGGGGAGATGCAAAATGCGGGCGCGTGCGGCAGGACTCTTTCCTCGGGACATTCGTTTTCACGACCCAATTAAAATTAACGAACCGGAGTGAGCACACGGGTGAAATCTCACTGTTCGTAAAGATGGCCGGCTACCGGCCACCGTTGGGCCCCGCCGTTAAAAAGCTCCACGGGCAAGATTTGCATAAGCAACGTTCGTCGCTCTCGGAGCACCCTGGGCTCCGCCTGTCCACGGCAAAATGGCCGCTCTGCCCGCGACAAGTTCTAATCGATTCGAATCGAACAAAGGAATCATTTAATACATGACTAACAATTAATTAGCTAAAATTAATTATATAAAATTAATTAGTGTACAGGGTGTCAAAAATGGTTACGTCATAGCTGTCACAGGCGTTTTCTTAAAAATGTCTTCGTAAAACATTTTCTTGTTGGACTGTCCAAAATTGCTCGAAAAATCCTGGCGATAGTCGCGTGACACACTCTGTGTAACTCAACAATATTCAACACTGAATAACAACGAAACGGTTGCTTCGAGACACACGGTTCCTTCTGCAAGTTCGCTCGTCTCGGCGAGCAGAATGCGACGCGACCATAAAAAAATTTGACCTTGGAAAACATGCTCAAGGTCATTTCTGGGAAAGCTATTTCCAACGGCTTTGCGTCGATCTGAACGCTTAGAACACGTCTACGATAACCTAGACGCAACATTGTCGCCAACGTAACCTTGACATAACCTGTACAGTGCCCATTACAGCGAGTTTTTGTGGCATAATCGATTCGACGATCTCCCACGACATCGTCTCCGCAATTTTTGCGATTGCGATACGTTCAACCTCGGCAGATTCGACGCCGAGAGATCCGCAACAGACGCCCACAACAGGTGCGCAACGATGTGTAGGGCGGAGGGGAGGGGAGGGGGGATCAATCCGGCGGACAATAAATTTTCTGTTACACCGTTCATTACAGGACTCGCTTAATCGATTACACAGTCCGGCGTCCAACGATTCGTCACTCCGCCGTTTCCAGAAACTAATCTGACCCCCCCCCCCCACCGGGTCCCACCCCGCGTGCCGTAGGACGGAGCAACAAAAGCCAAAGGAGAATTACGTTCATCGATCGAGCCCGGGATATCGATTCCCGGAACGAAAAAAAGAAAGAAAAGAGAAAAATAACGCAAGTCGGCCGAGAGAGCGGGGAAAATATCCCCGGCCAATTTACCGTAAATAGCCGAGGCGGACTCGCGCGGCCGATTACCTGTAAAATTGTGTCGGATAACAAAAATGCGTCGCGGCTATTCGTCGAGCGGTCGACGCCGCGAACGGCCGGCGATCGCGCCGCGACGATCGGATATTACGTTTCGCAGGCGATCGCTGGTTAAATTGGCCGCTTTGAACGACGACCGGTCGATTACAGTCGCGTTTAACCATTTCGGAATATGTGTTGTTAATTGCCGAGAGCGCGTTGAAAAAGTGCGCGTCGACGGTCTCCTTGAAACCGTTCTGAAAGCTTCGTGACGTCGAAAAATGACCGAAACTGAATTGAACACTTCAAATAGAAGAGCCCAGCCTACGCAAAACCGTAATTAAAAGCTGCTTTCCCATCTCCAAGTCGGCGCGAAGGAAGCGGTCCGGCACGCCGATTTAGCTGGCCAAAAGTCGCGATACCTCAAAGCTGCCTTTCCTCCGGGAAAATATGACAATGCATGGTGTTGACATTATTATAACATACGTAATATGCTTTAGAGAGCAATAATCTATAATGACATTCAATAATATACACGGTGGCGACGATATACGGCAACGGTGACACGGAAAAAGTGACCGCGAGACGGCTAACGAATTTTGGCCAGCTAAATGGACCCGCCAGACCGCAGCTCGGGAACGCGATTTCGAGCGCGTCGCGTCGCTGAGCGGAGCGTCGCCGTTGGAAATACAAGTCGACGACGATGAAAAAGCACGCCGATTCCTCTGTAAACGATTTTTCCATTCGACACGATCCCCTTGTTACCGAACGCTTACGCCGGCTTAATTGTAACTCGGCTCCCTCTCCCCCTCCTCCCTCGGGGCTCCGGTTCGCCAGGTTCCTTCGTTCGGCGAGGAGCAATCGGATATTTCTTCGGGCCGCCGCCGGCCCGGCGAACTTTTAATTAAATGTAATAGCGTGACGCAATTACCGCGCCCGTACCTTGTCACGTTTAACGCTCGGTATAATCGAGCATGTGTATTTTCAGCCGGGGCTACATTGCATGCGGGCATAAGCAACTGTTCTCTCGCCCGGGCAACGTGCGCCCGGAATGTAACTAAACAAACGTACGCTCCCCGAGATCACCGTAAGTGTTTGCGCAAGTCGTTGTTGCCCCGCCATTGTAACACGGTCGGCCGGGGCGGCGCCGCTGTGCGTCAACCATCCCCGGAATTAGAGGAACACGTACCCGGGGCTCTACGCGCCGGTATTGTCGTTCCCGTTAATTAATAAACCCCGCCGGCACGCGTCCCGATGAAACGCAGTTACGGTTCCGTCGCGGCATCGACGCGGCGGACACGCGCTCATGCGTGCAGTGGAGGAAGATCAGAGAATCCACATATATTTTTTATATTGTTATGTTAATCTAGAGACTTTATTTGTAAATAAACAATTAAGAAAAAATTAAAAAGTAGCCCACAATACGCAGGAAAGTCGACTTGATAATCGAATCACTTCTCTTAAAAATCGAGCAGTTTCGACTGGAATCAGGGGACGATGTTCTTCAATTTTTCAATACGATATCGCGATCTTTATCGATTCCACGCTACGTTGTTCTAAAGTTGACACTGCCAGCTTTAATTTGAGATGAAAATGATTGAAAACGTCCCGCAGGAAAATAAATTAAAGTGCGCTTAAAGTTCGCCAAGAAAATCAGTCATTTCTCTTCGAAAAGGGGGTCGATGTTTTTCATTCTTTGGAACCGATTCCGCGACTCTCATCGATTTTAAGTTACATTATTCTAAAATTGACACTTTTAGCTTCAATTTAAGATAAAAATTATTGAAAACGTCTGGCGGGAATATAAATTAAAGTGTGCTTAAAGTTCGCCAAGAAAATCAGTCATTTCTCTTCGAAAAGGGGGTCGATGTTTTTCAATTTGTGGAACCGATTCCGCGACTCTCATCGATTTCAAGCTACATTATTCTAAAATTGACACTTCCAGCTTCACGTTGAGGTAAACAGAATTCAAAATGTCCTGCGGGAATATAAATTGAAGTGCACTTAAAATTCACCAAGAAAATCCTCAAATTTTTCCTGAAAAAAGGGGTCGATATTCTACAATTTTTCGAATCGATTCCGCGACTCTATTCGAACCCAAACTAATCCATTTTAAAGTCAACACTTTCAGCTTCAATTTTAGATACGGGAAATGTAAAAACACTAACAAAAATATAACGTAAACCCGATTTGAATTTCCTCCTTAATCCAGCCCTTTCTCCGTCTTCCGTGGCCCGAGTCATAAATTCAGACTTTTAAATTTTCCGAAGTGATCACAAAATTGTTTCCATACTTCCATCACGCTATCTTAAAGCAGACATTTCCAGCTTCGATTTGAGCTGTACAACGTTCAAAAATTCCCGCGGGAACGCGACGAAAAATCGAGTCAAAGTTCCCCTTGTCCTGACTGCTTCCGACGCTCGCCGACAGATGGCCACCGTTCTCGCTGCCACTCGATCCTCGTTCCCGGTCGATCCTCGCATCCCGAACGATTCTCGCAGACGGCGGCGTCCTCCAAATAACCTTGACATAACCTCCGAGTCAGAGCGCGAATTGGCGCGCGGCGAAAGTAATCCGCAAACACGGCGTTTAACGCGGAAATTCGGTTGCGGTCGAAGCTCGGGCTAACTCGCGTGTAACGGATCGGCTTCGTCGAAGCCGCGATAATCCCGATCGCAGGCCGGGATGGAAACATCGGCCGGGCCGAATACATGTGTACTCGTTAAACGTCCGATACGAAGCCGATCGATGACACGGAACAATGAGCAAAGTTGCCGGTTACACCGCGTGTATGGATCGGGCATTATCTCGTTGCAACAACAGAGTCGTTCAAAATGTTTCCTGATACTCGACAATGCGGCCGACCGCTTAACTGTAATTGCTTCATTGTCAGCGTAATGGCGGGGAGGGGGTACGCTCATAACTTCCCAGCGCGGCGCGCGTATGATCAGCGATTCTGTTTAGGAACGGATATCGAGGCTGAGAACGAGCGACGGCGATGCGACGGATAAACTTGGATCAACGCGGGACCCGCCTTCTCGTAAAAAGTTTACGGGTTTGTCCCAGTCAAACGTATTACGCTGTCCAGAGAATGGAGAAGCACGGTTCACGGCATTCGCCCGATATCGGTGATAAGGAGATTGCTTTCTGAACGTTCCGCGAACCTTTTTTTTCTTCTTTTCCTTTTTTCTTTCTTTTTCCTTTGCCGGAAACCATTCGGGATTTGATCAGCGTCGCTGGCAAACCGTGTTCGGTTTCGCACGTTTACGAATAGTTGTCGTTGCTTGGAGACGGAAATGTCTTTTTTTCGACGCTTCGAACGAGTATTCTCTTGGAAAGGAGATTCTTTGGAAAGTTAGTCACGAAAATCGAGCGGTGACGAGTATACTCGTCCAATATGGAGTAAGCGCCGCAGTTAAAATTTCGGATCGAAAGACGGTTTTATTTTGTAAAATTAATGATTTTATTGTTAATATTTATTTTTATTTGCGTGTGCCGCTTCGAGTGTGACGCGTATACTCGTCTTGACGCGAAGTAGTGTAAAATGTTAGTGACGAGTATACTCGTCTTGACGCGAAGTAGTGTCAAATGTTAGTGACGAGTATACTCGTCAACAAGGTTAACTGGTTAAATAGATGATTGTTAGTACTTTTTACGCGCGACGAGTATACTCGCTGTTAGACTAGTATACTGTCTATTTCTTTGTGACGAGTTTACTCGTCATGACACAAAATACTGTCACTTCTCCGTGACGAGTATACTCGTCAAGACACAAAATATTATTATTTCTCCGTGACGAGTATACTCGTTATGACACAAAATACTGTCAGTTCTCCGTGACGAGTATACTCGTCATAACACAATGGTGACTACTTTCTACGCGCGACGAATATACTCGTCATGACACAAAATACCGCCACTTCTCCGTGACGAGTATACTCGTCATGACACAAAATACTGTCACTTCTCCGTGACGAGTATACTCGTCATATCACAAAGTACTGCCACTTCCCCATGACGAGTATACTCGTCAAGACACAGCCGCCTAATTAAGCGAAACAATGTTTCGCCCTCAAGACGAAACACTAACCAAAGCCGCTCGCCATTTTCAATCGTGGCAGAAAACATTCGTAGCCGTCCGCCGCGCGTCGATGAAAAATCGCACAAAGTTAAACCGGTCGATCGTCGTCGTATCCATCATTTTCGCTACCGGGCAGCTTGGTTTCATGCCGGACTTCCGGTGGTCGCGATCGCCGTCGGGTCGCCGCGTTGCAGCGGGAAACAAGGTGCTCGTTCCCGTTGTATCGATGACGGGCGCGGTAATCGGGCCGGCGATGATAATCATTAAACGACTCTTTCGAAAGCAATCAATCTCCGCGACGGGAAAATCGGCCGTTGCCGCGGCGCATCCATTATATACGGCTGTTAAGCATGTATTTCCGGCCGCCTACGTGGCCGCGCTCGATTTCAGCATTTCGCGTCCGACGGCGCCTTTAATTATCGCGGCACGCGAAGGTCCGAGCGAAAGGTCGGCGGGCGGCGTTACGCGATAAAATGGACCGACCGTCACTCACCTGTCCGGTCCGCGCACCTCCCGGGCTCAAAGAAACCGGCTGAATTAACGAGATTACCGATACACCTCGCGCCGTGGAAATATTCACGGGCCGCCGTCTCCGTTCGCCGTGCTTCCGAAGCGGCGGAACAACGGCGCCGCGGGAATTTATCGCGATAATTGCCGTGTCCCCGGATATTGTCAATAACAACACAGCCAGCGACAGACCGTCCAATTAGGTCAACGTATCGAGCTGCTCGGCCAAGTATTAATTAGTTTCCCGGCAGAAGTTCGCCGGTTCGAGCTACGCGGGCCGAATTTACACGACGCGAACGACGGATTTGCCTGCTAGAACAACAACCGTGTTGCACCTTTTCTCGGACGGTTGCTCGCAATTCGCTAATTCGCAGGATCGTTGCGACGGTTTAGCGACTTTTCGGTTGTTGGATTTATATATACACTTAGTAGAAATTCGAAGTAGAACATGATCGTCTGTATCTGAAACCGGTTTTGTATAATAATTGGTGATGCAAATTTTCCCGATTTTTCCGATTTTTTTAAACAAATTTTTCGGTACACATATGTTGCTCAAAACCGTAACGAACAATTATGGTCATAAACAATGCGATTATAAATAATGCGGTTGTGAACAATGTGATTATAAACGATGTGAACGTAAACAATATAATATTAAAGAGCGTAACAGGTTGTAGACGACGTCTGGAATAAGAAATGCCACTCTACAGACAGAGATACACTGACGTATGGAGAAAGAAACGATTCTCCAGATGATTTGGAGCAACTTTGTCCTTTGCGAAAATTTTCTAAGTGGCTTCGTTACGGAGATATCAACGAAAAACCCCGAACGGAGCGGCCATTGTAGTGGGATGACTCATCGCGGGGCGCTCCGGCCTAGCGCGGCACGCGCGGCCACCATGCGATGAGTCATCGTCGCGACAGTGGCCGGTAACATCGGGACCGAAGAGCCAGCTCTCCGATTGACCCGTAGTTTTCCGTTAATATCTCGTTAACTAAGCGTCGGGCAAAATTTTTGTAAAGGAAAAAGTTGCAGGAAATCGTCTCGCGCACCCTATGCAGTAGTTCAAAATTTTTTACTCCGCCATCTTCGCTCAGTAAACTGCATTTTGACTGAATCCCTAGGCAAAGATAACGCTTTACGTCGCGTCTAAGTGGACCACGAAAGAAATTAGCGTGCCTGGATGGAACAGTGCGTCGATCCGAGTCGAATTACGGCGTTTCACAGGCGACCGCGGCCAGCGTCGGGGTTGAAACACGTCGGAGAGTCCGGCCGCGCGTTTGAAAACTTGCTGTAATAAAATCAGCATATTTAAATTCATCCGTGCGCGGACGAAATAAAGCAACGGCGGTCGAAATCAACGGGAATGTTGTTCCCCTTTGTAAATTCCGGGCGAAATAGAACATTAAATCACGGAGACCATCGCGCGTCGCATTTTTAACGCGAGTCGCGTCGGAACGAATGGAGCGGCCGGGCCCGGCCCGGCCCGACGTACGCGGCGGACGCGGCCGAATTAAAATAACGTGAAACCAAAATGGCGACATGATGCACATTGTTCGATGCCGTTGCCGCATGCCGCTGCACGTGTGCACGACAATGCGAATTATTGCCGAACCGTTCGTCCCGAATATGCAACCGAATCGCGGAGACGCGCGATCGTGACACGCTTACCTCTGCTTATATTATACAGAAAAACCTCCGATGATATCGACAATGTTCTCTCTCTCTCTCTCTTTTTCTCTCTGCGTGATTTCGTCACGCGGAACTCGCTGCAGCCATCGTCGCGATTGAAAAGCCAAACAGAAGGTACTACGTTTTTATGAATACCGCAGGTATTCCACGTCTGGTTCTTCCCGTCGACGCGTCGCTAACGAATTCATTGTTCGACTACAACTTGGCAACGTCGTGCCCTGTAATACCTGAACTCCCGCGAAAGATGCTCCGCTCCGATTGGCCGACTGACGCGCCAGGCTGAGTTCACTGCCGAGCCGTGAGTCACTGCTGATTGGGCGCGCCGTGGAGTGGTGGGGATAAGGCCTCTGTGAGGTAGAGTAAGTCGATTTAGGTTCTGATAGGCTCCTAAAGCATGTTCTAGTGCGGCACGCGTCCTGTTGCCGTTCGCGATAGCCGGCTCTCAAGTCGAAGGAGTAGGAGTAGGTCATGTGACGCGCCGAGACTCCCACGGGGTGGGTCGCGTCACATGACACCCACCTCCTACTCCTTCGATTTGAAATCTAGCTTATTCTCCTGGCTGCGACGATTGCGTTTATCCTTAATTACTTAGCGTAAATAATATTGAACAATTTATTCGTGTCCTGTCGCCTGTTATTATTGAAATATTGCTTCGTTGATCAGATTAAGCAGTGCAAGTACTGTGTCCACTGAAAGAATGACGACTTCCGTGCTCTATTTGAACAGTATCCCCTGGAATATCGTGCTCGTGGACGTCCGTAACGAATATTGCAACATAAATCACTCGCAGCGACGATACATCTACACGAGCAACGCGGTTTCCGTCACGCAGGTCACGAAAAACCGAAAAGTTTATTTATCAAAACTGTTACAGGTATTTCTATTGTCATTTTTATGCATACGCGTATCTGTTCGCACGATAGCAATTCGCTAGACTTTAGTATATAAAAGCGGGATCCGTGGACGGGCACTATTATTTAAAGGTGGAATTGCGAGGGATTCGACTCAAGACATCATGGACGTCAAACTGAACTTACTGCTCCTGTTCGTTTCTTTGATTCTGTTGTCCTGGAATCACGTAGCATTCGCGCGCTATGTGAGGAATAATTATTTTATTGTTTAACCGATTACTAGTATTGTACTGTAAATGAGGTTTTTGTTGCATTGATTTTGTACAGGAGCCACCAGCCTGCAGGATTATAACGAAGAACCATTGTCACAGCATGAAGTACAAAAATATGTGTCCGGTATGATTATTTATTCTCTTCTGCTTGTAATTTAATATATATTTAGAGTGTAATTTAATTTGGAGTACAATTTAATTTAGAGTATGATTTAATTTAGAGTATAAGTTAAATTATAGTATGATTTAATTTATATATAGAGAGTGTAATTTAATTTAGAGTATAATTTAATTTAGAGTATAACTTATTTTTTAGAGTGTAATTTAATTTACAGTATAATTTAATTTAGATTTTAATTTAATTTAGTGTGTAATTTAATTTACAATATAATTTAATTTAGAACATAATATTCAATTCAGAATATAAGTTAATATAAATTGTAATTCAATTTAGAATATAATTTAATTTAGATTGTTATTGTAATATCGAATGTACGATACCTTAGATTCTCTTCTTTTCAGAGCGTGTGTGGTAGTGGGTAAATCGGAGCTTCTCGAGAACAATGTCTACAGAAACAATACTACATCTGTTGGCGATCATTGTAGTCGCGTCACATTCGAAAAGAAATTGATGCAGTATTGAAGCTTCCAGCAATTATTTCCCTCCCCTCCCCGTCTTGGTACAAGTACAATTGAAATTAAATAACAATTACTTACAAGTATAATTGAAATTAAATAAAAACTACTCACAAAAAAAAGTATATAATTGAAGTGAAATACGAATTACTCACAAGTATAATTGAAATTAAATAAAAATTACTTACAAGCATAATTGAAATTAAATAAAACTTAACGTCGACGCGCAGTTTTCCAACGCGCTCTCTCGGCAATTAACAACACATATTCCGAAATGGTTAAACGCGACTGTAATCGACCGGCCGTCGTTCAATGCGGCCAATTTACGCGTATCTGTTTGCGCGATAGCAGTTCGCTAGACTTTAATATATAAAAGCGGGATCCGTGGACGGGCACTGTTATTTAAAGGTGGAATTGCGAGAGATTCGACTCAAGACATCATGGACGTCAAACTGAACTTACTGCTCCTGTTCGTTTCTTTGATTCTGTTGTCCTGGAATCACGTAGCATTCGCGAACAATGTGAGGAATAATTATTTTGTTGTTTAACCGATTATTAGTATTGTACTGTAAATGAGGTTTTTGTTGCATTGATTTTGTACAGGAGCCACCAGCCTGCAGGATTATAACGAAGAACCATTGTTACAACAAGAAGTACAAAAATATGTGTCCGGTATGATTATTTATTCTCTTCTGCTTGTAATTTAATATTTAGAGAGAGAGAGTGTAATTTAATTTAGAGTATAATTTAATTTAGAGTATATATAAGTTAAATTAGAGTATGATTTAATTTAGAGAGAGAGAGAGAGAGAGAGAGAGAGAGAGAGAGAGAGAGAGAGAGAGACAGTGTAGTTTAATTTAGAGTATAATTGAATTTAGAGTATATATAATTTAATTTACAGTGTAATATTTAATATTTAGAGAGAGAGAGAGAGAGAGAGAGAGAGAGAGTGTGTAATGTAATTTAAAGTATAATTTATTTTAGAGTGTAATTCAAAATTTACAGAGAGAGAGAGAGAGAGAGAGAGAGAGAGAGAGAGAGTATAATTTAATTTAGATTTTAATTTAATTTAGAGATTAATTTAATTTACAATATAATTTAATTTAGAACGTAATATATATATTCAATTCAGAATATAAGTTAATATAAATTGTAATTCAATTTAGAATATAATTTAATTTAGATTGTTATTGTAATATCGAATGTACGATACCTTAGATTCTCTTCTTTTCAGAGCGTGTGTGGTAGTGGGTAAATCGGAGCTTCTCGAGAACAATGTCTACAGAAACAATACTACATCTGTTGGCGATCATTGTAGTCGCGTCACATTCGAAAATAAATTGATGCAGTATTGAAGCTTCCGGCAATTATTTCCCTCCCCTCCCCGTCTTGGTACAAAAGTACAATTGAAATTAAATAACAATTACTTACAAGTGTGTATATATAATTGAAATTAAATTAGAATTACTCACAAGTATAATTGAAATCAAACAAATATTAATCACAAAAAAAGTATATATATAATTGAAATTAAATAAAAACTACTCATAAAAGTATAATTGAAATTAAATAAAAATTACTCACAAGCATAATTGAAATTAAATAACAACTACTCACAAGTATATAATTGAAATGAAATACGAATTACTCACAAGTGTGTATATATATAATTGAAATTAAATAAGAATAACTCACAAGTATAATTGAAATGAAATAAAAATTATTCACAAAAAAGCACATATAATTGAAATTAAATAACAACTACTCACAAGTATATAATTGAAATGAAATACGAATTACTCACAAGTGTGTATATATATAATTGAAATTAAATAAGAATAACTCACAAGTATAATTGAAATGAAATAAAAATTATTCACAAAAAAGCACATATAATTGAAATTAAATAACAACTACTCACAAGTATATAATTGAAATGAAATACGAATTACTCACAAGTGTGTATATATATAATTGAAATTAAATAAGAATAACTCACAAGTATAATTGAAATGAAATAAAAATTATTCACAAAAAAGCACATATAATTGAAATTAAATAAAAACTACTCACAAGTGTAATTGAAATTAAATAAAATAGGCTCGATTGAAATAAAAATTACTCGCAAGTATAATTGAAAATAAATAAAAATTAATCAGACATAATTGAAATGAAATAATTTTGTTACGAGCATTGAACTCTCTTTCATTTCGCCAGCCATCGACCCGAGTGATCCCAGTTTCCGGTGCTTGGCGGAGTTTGGCTTTACGACGACCGACTTTCCGTCGCGCGGCCGATGAGGCGGATCGCATCGCGGAATAAGGAAGATTACAAGTCGCATCGGGCTGCGACTAACATCTGGCCACGGGTTCCCCGGGCATATTAGTTCTGTTTTCTTGAGAGCCCGGTCGTACGTACGGGCAAGGACGTCCGAGAAGCTCCTCGGTCCTGCTCCGGCCAACATTTTCATGAATATTCTTTAACATTAATGCGCTTTATAAATATTTATCAAGCCCCCGGATTTCACTATCTCCGACAAATTAAGCTTTCCGGCTGACTTAACCCTACCTGTTCCGCGTGGCCGGAGCGTTGCCGCTGGAAAGATGCAATTGGAATAGTAATTTCATACCCGCGATCTGCATCCGCGCCCGAGTCGTCGGCGATATTTAATATTCCACGCAATGAATTTAGATTTTCTATTACGGGGAAAGCCGGGCCGTCGCGGTGCTGCTGCTGCGATTTGGTCCATTCCTTTGTATCGAGTATTAAAACAAGCACAGGGAAGGTTGGACGAGGAAGCGGGCCGATTTTTATGTGAAATATTAATTTCATTTATTTTTATTTATTCGTTCATTTATTTTTACTAATTTTCCCACCTAATTTCCTTACTTCACCTTACACTTGTGTCTCGTTTATTTCGAATTTTTGTCAAGTAGAGAAGCTCTGCTGATTCCTGAGCTGATTTCAAGCAACTTTTTCCGTTGCGAAAATCGTCTCCGTGGCTCCGTTAACGCTTTATCAACGAAAAACGCGGACCAATCGCAGAGCGAGTGCGGCCGGCACTCCGCCCTCGCGACCGCCGCCGCCGCGTCAAACTCGCAGTCGGCGACGCACTCGCCTCGTGATTGGCCGGCGTTTCTTCGTTAATAACTCGTCAACCGAGGCTCGGAGAGAATTTTTGCAAAGGAAAAAGTTGTTCGAAATGATTCGACGAATAAGCTGGCCGCAGGTTTTATACATTTGGGTGAAAAATGAGAAAACGTAACACGACAAACCGTGGACAAATACGAGGAATGGGGTGTTCGTCATAACGACTGGATTAAATTAAAATGATTCAAGAAAGAAAAATCATGCAACGTGGCACCTGTTACTCGTAGACAATTTTTATTTTTTTACAAAGCATATTTGTGTTACATGTAGATCCCATTTGAATTTCTTCGATTATGTCCGGGGATGTCTGTTACACGATATGACTGTACATCCGAACAGACGTTGCACGATCAGCCGAAGTCAACGAATTGCTCGTCGTATCTATCAAGTGGCTAAAAAAAAGAAAAAAATGAAACGCGAGATGAATCATCAAAACAGCTGATATCTCTTGACAATTACTGACAATTATTCCTTACCTTGGCTTCGACGTTCGCGATATTAAACGCCGATGCCAGCAGCACAAATAAAACAAACCCGAATAATTTCGCTTTCATTGTTGCAAACCGTTCTACGAAACTTTCGACTCGTTTGACATGCCACGATGCGCCGGTCCCTGCTTTATATACTAAGCGAAACGAGTCCTCGAATTATCGAGCTGGATAAATTTGTCGCGAGCACACCGAATCGATGCCGATACAATTTCTGCATTTTTCTTTATCAGGTGCAATAATTATTCCGAACGCTAAATTGAACAAAAACGGTCAATTACTATCGCCGATAATTCAGCTATAATGAAGGCGAGAAGTAATATAAATCGTACAGGAAAGTCGTGTTTTATAAAAAGCATACCATTTTGAAATGAATTTTGAATATTCTCGCTATTCTCTCGTTATTCTTCTCGCCTGAACGCAGGTTCGGTTTGCAGGACTTTTGGCAACGTTGGAATGGACGAAATTGAACGGACTGAATGGTTCTTCTTGTTACAAGAAGGTGTAAAAAAGGAAGTTCGATTCAGGACATTACAGTAGAACTGGAAATTGACAATGGCACCATTGTAATACAAATTGCGATTAAACTGTACTTTACGGAAACAAAATTTCTCGACATTTTTTTAAACAATGGCGCACATGGACAAAAAATCGGAAAAAATTCAGGACACTGCTCGCGACGGTGTCTCGTACGAGAATTAATATGAAAATAGTATAGTTTCTGGTTTTCGAAAAATCTGCAATTTTTCGATTTCTGGTTTTCTATTTTTCGCGAGCGCTGACCGCGACGAAAAAATCGAAGAAAATTTGGCAACGCTGCTTGCGATAGCACCTTGACAAAGAAATAATGCGAAAATATTACAACTTTCAGTTTTCGAGAAATCAGCAATTTTTTCATCTCTGGCTCGCCGCGTCGAACTCGCTGTTACGTCAGATGCGGCGACGTACTCGCCCCGTGCTTGGCCGAGGTTTCTTCGTTAATAACTCGCCAATCAAGGCTCGGAGAAAATTTTAATAGAAAATTATAAGCATATAAACTACATTTTTAATTCCTTCGATTATGATGTCGATAGGATGTTCGTTAGACAATGATTGTATCCGAGCACACGTTGCACAGTTATCCGAAGCGTAGGAAATTATCCTCCAATTTTCCATCCGGCTAAAAACAACGAAACGCAAGGTGATTCATCGTCGTTGACGACAGCTGATATTTCTTGACAATTACTGACAATTATTTCTTACCCTGGCTTCGATGCTCACGAAATTAAACGCCGATGCCAGCAACGCGAATACAACAATCACAAATAGTTTCGCTGCCATCGTTGCAACACTGTTCTGCGGAAGATTCGACTGAATGGACACGCCGTGATTCACCGGTCGCTGCTTTATATACTAAACGAAACGTGTCGTTCGTGACCGAATTATCAAGCTGGATAAATATATCGTGAGCACTCGGCTCGAAGTCGGTTAAAGTTTATGCATTTTTTGTTTTTCTTTTATCAGCCGCAGTAATTTTTCCGAATGCTAAATTTCACAACGTAATTATTTCCTTTCGGCGATAGGACAGCCATAAAGAACGCGAGAAAAAATAAAAATCGTAGAGACAACTCATGCTGTCGTTCTGTGTATAAAATGCGAATATCACTTCGAAGATATCGCGACACGTGGCAACGTGTTGCGGTCAGTGAATTTTTTTTTTATTCGTGCGCTCGGTTCGCAGAACATTTGGCAAGGTTAGAATGGACGTGGAATGGTTATGTATCTATAATGTAACTATAATGTAATTATAACTATACCAGTTGGAGGTCGTTGGATTCAGGACATCACGGAGGAATTGGATATTGACAATGGCGCCGTTGTTAAACAAATTCCGATTAAACCTTCGGTTTAGGAAACCAAAATTTATTGACTTTTTGTTGACTGTTCACGTAGATCCCGACGAGAAAACGCCGAAAATATAGATTTCAATATGCGGAATTTATTGCTTCAGAAGTTACCAATTATTTTCTCCTACGTTTTATTTTGTAATTGTTCCAATTACTGTGGACGCATGGACTAGCCGACACGCGGGAACGGGATCAGCTGTGGATTCCTGCGGACCCGAACCTAATAAACAAACAAAAGTAAAGCGTGATTATGCTAACGATAGCAACATAAAAGCAACGAATGTCCGGCTACGATTTTTGCGGCAGAAATTAAAAGAAATATTAACCATGTCCCTGGATAATTTTGACGAGTCAAAAACAGCGTGACAAATTAAAAAAAAAGAAAATCGAAATTAAATGAAACAAAAATTGACGAATAAAAATGATGATAATTAAAGATGATGTTAATTATGTTTGGGAATAGATGATTCTCGAGGTCATTTCAAGCAACTTTTTCCTCAGCGAGAATGTTCCACGAGCCTTCGTTTACGAGTTATTAACGAAAAACCCTGGCCAATGAGAGGTGAGCGCGGCTGGGCGCGCGGCGGCGAGCCAACGAGCGGTCCCCGCACAGAACCCGCTGACTGGCTCGGCCGCCTGGCGCTAGTCGCGTTCGCCTCTTATTGGCCAGCGTTTTTCGTTAATAACTCGTAAACGAAGCCTCGTGGAACATTTTCGCTGACGAGAAAGTTGCTTGAAATGATCTCGGGAATCGTCCCGTGCCGATTGTTAACATAATTACGGAACACCATGTGCAGTAACAGGGCACCCTGGGCATTGATCAAAATGAAGAATGAACCTAAGTCGATATTTCCGATTGCAACGGACGGTGCCGAAATCTCTCGGCAATTCTAAATTTTTGCAATATTAAATCGCAGCTCGCTTACCGCTTCGTTGCCGACAACGTAGAACACCGACCAGAGGAGCATCGTGAGCGCAAAGCCAACGCACTTCATTTTTCCATACATGACTGCTCGTACGTAGAAATCTTTGGTGTACTAATATCGTTGCACTGTCCGCCGAATCTATTTATATTAGCGGCCGGGTTGTGTAACCGTTAATATTTAAATGCTGTTTGTGCGTTACGACGTTTTTTTTTAAAGCGAATAAACTTGTCACAGCGATAAGCAGTCATTGAAATACCGATATTCTCGACAAACTCGATCGCGTAATTATTGATTCGATCGATTTACGAGACGTCTATGAAATTATAAACCGCTTAAAAAAAAAAATAGCAATGCCAAAAAAGTCTGCCATAGTCTCTCTCTCTAGCTTTCTCTTTCTCTAGCTCTTTCTCTCTTTTTAATTTTTTCTCTATTTCTCTTTCTAGGGCTCTCTCTCTCTCTGTCTCTCTCTCTCTCTCTAATTCTCTCTCTAGCTTTCTCTTTCTCTAGCTCTCTCTCTCTCTCTCTCTCTAATTCTCTCTCTAGCTTTCTCTTTCTCTAGCTCTCTCTCTCTCTCTCTCTCTCTCTCTCTCTCTCTCTCTCTCTCTTT